CCCCAAAACCCCAAAACCCCAAAACCCCAAAACCCCAAAACCCCTTATTGGCCCAAGTTTATAGAATTTGATTCAAAATGGAGTTTTTATTTTTTGAATAGATCTAGTGCAAATTATGGTACCTTATAATGAATTAGTTAGACTGGAGCAAAGCGGAAAGTCTTTGGGCATATTCTTCATTCAGGGTCTTTAACTCTGGTTCATTATGATGAAGTTCAGCGATTCTGTTCAATGCAGCCTCTACTTCAGCACCAGTGGTAGCAAGAATGTTCTGGTTTTGCTTTTCAACTTGTTCAATGATAATCTTGTTGATAGCCAATGCTTCATCTAAATCTTCTTTAAGTGGAAGCATTCCTAAATACTTCTTAGCATGATCATCAGTGATCAATGTTCCGTCTTTTTGGAACATTACAATTTTGAGAAGAGAGCTTAGAGCGTTCTCAGTAGCAAAATTGTTTTCTTCAGACATTGGATCTGGGACACTGATAACTTCTTCAAGGATATTGTGAATTCCTTCTGCTAATGGGGCATATTGATCATTTGGTAATCTAGAAGCGACTACTCCAAGCCCGAATGACAATGACTGTACAACATCTCTGTCTTCATCATTCTTATGCTTTTCGTAAATCTCTACGAATTTCTTGACAACATCTTGGTAGATTTCTTGGAAGAACTCGATGGAGAGGAACTCACAGCAATCGATAAGGAAGCAGAGTCCATCAATGACCTCATGCTCAGTGTTCTCTGATTTGCTCATGTTCTCTACAAAGAGAGTGAAGAGCTTCTCTTTCATGATTTGAGTAACATCTGCTTTGAAGAGTCTCATGTATTGACCAGCTACTTCCATGGAATAGAGGAAGGCTTTCTCAATCTCATCAAGGGCTTCTCTATATCCTGCTACATCTTCTTCATCAAGATTTTCTCTGTTCTTCTCGAGCTCTACAAGGGTCAGCTTCTTCTCTTCGGAAGCAAGGTGGCATGATTTAGCCATGAGATCCACCAAATTCTCAATCTGAGAAGGAGAAACTGGAGCTCCTTTTTCTTCAAAGAGTTTGATGCAGTGGTAGTATTCCTTCAGAAAAACTACGATTTCTTCAGAATCGCTCTTTTTCAGTGAGGACTGGATTCCAGTTTCGAATTTGATGTGCATAGCTCCCATAATTTGCTCCTTCATGGTGGCATCAGTGCAAGCTTCGATGAGATATTGGCAGCATTCAACTGAACAGAGTCTCACAGCTTTACTATACTTGTACTCGAATAGCTCAGACAAAACTTCATAAGTCTTTTCTACGAATGGGAAGAATGTAGCCTTTAAGTTCTCAGCCAAGGCTCTAAGCACCTGGACGGAGTTGATCTTAGTCTCAAGAGCATTGGTGTTGAGGGAAAGTTTCTTCTGGCCTTCCATTCCCTTCATTTTGAAGGTTACACTAGTCATGTTGTCTTCCTGCTCTTCAGTTGGCAGAAGGGCATCTTCAAGTTTGAAGTCAACATTAGATTTAGCACCTTCTAGAAGCTTTTCCATAATGGCTGGAAGGTATGGAGCGAAATCGTCCTTCAGTACAGCTGCTGCTTGGGTTAGAGCGTTTGTGATAGCGGTAACTTGTGGATCTTCCTCCTTAATATCATCTGATGTTAGGATCTGACTGAAAATTTCAACAATATTTTTAGCGTCATCCTTGAATTGATCCATGTTCTCTTCGGAGTTCTTGATGGCGTCCATTAAAAATCCAATAGTCTGGATTGTGTTAGATCTCAAATCTTTTTGATGGACAGTCTCATTAGGAGTGTTTTGGATAATCTGAATCAATCCTGGCATGAATTTAGGATAGAATACTGCGAATTTTTCTTCAATCAAGGTAGCAATGCATGAAATCAAAGCCAATACCTCTTCTTGGAGAGCTGGATAATCTTTCTCAATGGCATCAGTGAATAAGTCAGCACAGCAGTTTAATAAGTCATCTGTATATCCTTCGATAGCTCCAACTTCTCTCTCGGTTTCTTCTATACCTTGCTCATCAACTTGGATAAGTTCTCTGACAAAGCTAACTGCTGCTGAAGTTGCTTGGGTCTTGATTTTCATGTAGCAATCACTCTTCATGATACTCATGAGTTGAGGCATGATTTCAGCATGATACTTCTTCTGTGCCTTTGGAGCTTGCTCAGTGATCATAAGTCCAAGACAAGTGAGTCCAGCATACTGTACTCTTGGGTGGGAATCAACAACACCAGCTGCAGAGAGTCTCATAGTCTCTTCTAAGTCTTTTGATAAAATTTTCTTGCATGATTCTGCGATATAGCCCAAATAATAGTATCCTGCTTGCCTCTTTTTCCAGTCCTCATCAGTGATAGCAGTTTTGATAAGATCGATAGATGCTTCTATTGTAATGTTCTCTCCAACTATTCTGGAAAATCTGAGGAGAGCTTCTCTAGCAACGGCGTGTGGGTCACTTCTAGTGATGTCTTCTTCCTCTTTCTCTTTGGCCCATTCTTCAATATCGTCTTCATTGGTCACTTCAGTTATCATCTTAAAGAGAGCGGGATAGAAGTCAGTCTTCAAATTATCTAGCTTTCTTACAACCCCTGGTGCCTTATTGGCTAAAGAGAGGAGGATCTCCTTAGCACTGGATCTAGTTCCATCTTCAAAATCAGTATTCAGCATGATTTGGGAAACCACATCTACCAAAGTTGTTCCGTACTCTTTGAAAAGATCTGGATGGAAATCAGCCATGTCGATGAAACTCTCGAGAGTGGCTTTACCGGCATTCTCGTCCTCTTTGAGAGCATCAATCATGATGCTGAGCAAGCCTTCAACGATATCTGAGAACTGCAATGCGAGAGTATTGTCAGAAAGCGATGTAATGAATGAGCTAGTAGCCTTGAAAGATGCAACCTTGACCTTCAGGTCTGAGTCTGATAGACCTTGCTTGAAAATCTCCTTGAAGCTGCTGATATATTCACTCGCTAACTCCTGTGGGATGTGGACATCCACAAGGATATCAAGCATGTGATATGAAAGTTCTCTTACAGCTGCATTTTCGTGTTTGCTCAACTCAATTATCTTATCAAGGAGTGTTCTGAAATCTTCCAACTTGGCAAAAACCTTGACAATGACGCTTCCTTGTGCATGTAGAACGATAGGTGCCCTTTCTGGATCAATGATCTCAAAGAGTTTCTCCTGAAGCACTTGTAGTGTTTCTTTGGGAGTTGTTTCAGTCTCTAGGAAATACTTTTTGAAAAGAACGCAAGCAAGGTTTGCAACTTGATCATCTGTGTTGTTCAGGGCTGCAAACATTTCCTCCATTAGTTTCTGTGAGTCTTGCTCTTTGGCAGTCTCGAGGCTAGCCTCAGCCTCCCTTCTGACAGTGTTGTCTGGGTTTAGGATGTTCTTTAGGATTTCTTCCATACCGCTTTTTATCAAATTATTAAGATCTCAATTTTTTCAAACCTAAATGGGGTTTTGGGGTTTTGGGGTTTTGGGGTTTTGGGGTTTTGGGG